TAGATAAATGTATACTTGCATCAAAAGAAGTAGCAAGATGTTTATAGTCTAGAAAATTATATTTCTTTAACATTTTCTCAACATAATGCGACTGATCAAGAAAAATACCATCCTTAGTCTTGGTAATTTTAATTCCCAAAATAAAATTAGCTTCACCAAGATCTTTCATATCAAAGTGGCTATTAAGCATATTTTTAGTCTCATTTATAATATGCAAATTAGAGCCAAAGATAAGTAGATCATCCACATATAGGCTAATAATCACATGTGCATTCTCACAAGTTTTATAATATATGCACTTATCACATTCATTAGTCTTATAGCCATTCCTCGAGCATACAGGAATCAAATTTCTCATGCCACTGTTCAGGAGCTTGTTTTAAACCATAAAGGGATTTGGTTAGCTTACACACCTTGCTTTCTTGGCCAGGCTCCACAAAGCCTTCGGGTTGGTCCATGTAAATCTCCTCATCTAGATCTTCATTTAAAAATGCTGTTTTTCATCCATTTGATGAATTTTTAAATCATGAATTGCAGCCACTGCAATCAACAGTCTAATGGATGTAACTCTAGTAACCAGAGAAAAAGTATCAAAGAAATCAAGATCAACTTGTTGCTTAAAACCCTTAGCAACAAGCCTCGCTTTATATTTATCTATAGTTCCATCTGGTTTAAGTTTTTTACAAAGGACCCATTTATACCCAATAGTTTTACAACCTGGAGGTAAATCCACTAGCTTCCATGTTTTATTTAAAAGTAGTGAGTCTATCTCATCATTTACAGCCTCTCTCCAGAAAATAGCATCAGGTGATGATAAAGCTTCTTGCACCGTAAGAGGAATTTCTTCCACATTGTAAAGATAATAGTCAGGGCCAAAATCTTTTTCAACTCTAGTTCGTTTACTTCTTCTTGGTTGAATTTGAAAATTTTCTTTTTCTTGAAAAACTTAAGAAGGAGTAAAAGAGCTAGGCATAGATAAAATATTTTCAGAAATTATTTCACCCCCACTATTTCTAGATTTGAAAGGAAATTTATTTTCATGAAAAATAGCATCACCTGATTCAAAAATAATATTATTTTTCATATCAAAAAAATCTTATGCATACCAAGAAAAGCACAGGTTTCAGCTACGCCATTAGATGAAGGTGAATATGGTGGAGTAGTCTCATGAATAATTCCAATGACTGAGGTGGAGTAGTCTCATGAATAATTCCCAATGACTGAACAAAAGAGTTGAATCCAAGAGAGTCATACTCTCGACCTCTATCACTTCTAATTCTTTTAATCTTTTACCGAATTGATTTTCCACTTCAAGAAGGAATTCTTTAAATTTCTCAAAAGCATCACTTTTATTTTTTAATAAATATACGTTTGTGTATTTTGAAAAATCATCAATAAAAGTGATAAAATATCGGTTACCACCTTGAGTTAAAATTCCTTCAAACTCACACAAATTAGTATGAAATAATTCTAGCAATTCGGTATTTTTTTCAACACTTTTATGAGGCCTCTTAGTAATTTTTGCTTTACTGCAAACTTCACATTTCTCAAAATTTTTTGTCACTTTAGGAATTAACTCTAAACTACTCATGATTCCCACATATTTACTATTTATATGACACAAGCGAGCATACCAAAAATTAATAGAAGACAAAGTGTAAGTGGTGTCATAGTAATAATCATAAAATTAATCAGCAAGGAAATTTAAGAGATAAAAGCGACATTTATACTCATCTGTATTATAGGAAGCCACTTTTGCTTCATGTGCCTCGTAGTCTTCATCATTCATCTCCTCGGTTGGGATTTTGTTTGGATTCTTTTCGGTAAGAACATATGCAACTTTCAAAAGGCTAAGGTAAAAAAGAACTTTTCTTTTTCACCTTTTAAAATGAACTCCTTTGACTTGAAAGGCTTGTTGAGATCTCCAATTCCATCATTGGTTTTTTCTGGTACTTGTTCCATGGTTGATCTCCTTAAAATTGTTGGTGAAAATACCAGAAAAAATTATATTTTATGGATAAATGATGCAAAGAAAATGAGATACAAATAGATCAGGCTGAGGTACGGATATCTTGTTTTCTTTAAGGAGATCAAGCCCACTGCGGTAGGAAGAACCCCAATACCGATGCAGCAGTCACAAACTATGACTTGTCCCCTCCAGGATACAACAGCCCGACCACTTGTCGTATGGTTCAGGCCAACTCTACACAAGATGGTGAACCCTAAGCTCCACCAATAAAAACACCCTTCGTTGATAGTAATCTCTTTTGTATAGAAAATAGTTGGTGTGTGTTGGTAGTGTAGAAAAGAGTAGATGAGAGGGACTATTTATAGACCACTAGAACCTTACAGTTACACCAAAAATAAAGACCATTAAACAGGAGAAAATGGAGAGACTCCAAGCAATAAAGAGAAAATGGTTACACCAAAATAATGACCATTAACCAAATTGAGAGGTTACCAAAGTAATGAAACCCCATTTATGTCCATTTATGACCAAGATATATAAATAAATAAATAAAAGATATTAAAATGGTCTAACACATATCACTAGGTTGCGGCTGCATGAACTGAGATAACTCGAGCTGCAGTCCTTGTTGCATATACACATCCTGGTCCAGTAAATTTGCTGCATTAGTCATCGGTTGCACGGATGACATCATTGGGAGCTGCGGTTCAGGTTGCACAACATAGGCTTCCTGGCCTAGCAGATTTCACAGGCCAGGCTGTGGCTGCATGTATGGACTCGGCATGATCTGTAATCCTTGCTGCGAAAGTGCCTCTTACCCAAACACAATTGTGTTGTGGGGCTTATGTGGTTGCATACTTTGAGCCAGCACAAGCTGCAACTCTGCATCTTGGTCCAGAGAGTTCACATTACTAGACTGACCAAACAAATCTTGACCTAGTGGATTTATATCTTTAAAATCATACATTGCTTGTGGACCCCGTGGTGTATGCTGGTTTCATTCCAATAGTGGTTTAGTCACCTGAGTCGAGCTATCTCCGTAATTTAATGATGGATTTACTACTTTCGAAGGATATACTGATGATTTCAAATTTCTATTGCATCCACAATGTAATTCAACCAACCCTGATTGTCATCTGAAGCTGTCTGTCATCGCAGTGGACCCACCATTTATGTTTTAAGTTCTAGTGTTTGGGGGATAAGAAAACACTTTATTTGAAACATTATGATTAGAATGAGCAAAATCTTCCCCGATAGTTTCTTGAAGAAGATCCATGTACTTAAAAGTTGCTATCGGTACTATTTAAGCTTTTATTTTGAGAAGTTAGGAATTCAAAACCTGACCAACTTTTGGTGCTTTCACTTTGTCGAGAAGAATTTTCTCCAAGAACTCGTCGAAGAAGATCCGTTTTTACACTCGACATAATTGAACCTCTAGAGGGTCTAATGACAGAAGCCATGTCATTCAGAGTTTGATCAATAGCCTTTCCATCAATACCACTAACCCTTTTCCATTTTAAAGCATTGCGAAATCCTATTGTGTCGCTTTGAAAATCAGCCCGACCAACCAGAGTTGTGTTCTTTCAATAAGCACCACAGTAGGGATTTGTGCCATCACCCTTGACAACATTTTCCCCTTTATAAGTAGCAACATCGCCATAAGGATCCACATTATCACCTGTGATAACATTCTTACCTTCGGAAACAGCATCTTGAATTTCCAATCTATTATTTCCAAGCACCATCTGTCCTCTACAAGCATTGCTGTTGATATCTCTGCTCTTATGGGTGAGAAATTTTTTTCCCCCAGAACTAGCATCATGGATGCCCAATGGGTTATTAGCATCTGAAGTTACGATGTTGATGATGCGTTCCTTACAACTAGGTCGTTGTTGGGTTGCTAGAGAAGAAATCTGAAGACTTGAACCTCGGACACGATGACTAGGTGTCCAAGTCAAACATTTCAATTTTTGGTTTGCCACCTTTTGAGCTGTTGGTCCCAAATCTTTAACGAACCGCTTTAGACTCTCTTTGTAATCGATACCCCCATTACCCTACACTGTTTTGAGAAATTACAATAAATAAATAAAAGGAACTAGCTTGATTGAGAATGAAAATCAAAAGTAGGAGGAAATATAAATCGTAAGCATTGAGATAACATAACTTAAAATTTATCTTATAGAGATGCGTACATGGTTAGATAAAGTATTATAAAATCCTAATTATGTAAAGAGATGCATACATGGTTATATAAAGAATTATAAAATCCTAATTATGTATGGAAAAAAGTTCCAAATTTAACTTCATCAACTATGATAATTAGTGTGATTCAATATATGTTGAATTAACGTGGAAAGATGAAGATTTCAACTAAATACATGGAGCCAATAAATAAGATGATCAATATGGAGTGTAAATGAGTGCTATACCCAGTTCGGGTTTGTGAAGAACAGAGGGTGGTTGTTCAAACAATAAAAGAGACCTGTGTCTGTAAGAAGCATATGCACTTGGATGATGTGTACAGTGCCAATGAACAGGTAGGTAAGTCTATGGAGGTAAGAAGCAGAGACAGAGAAGATGAAGATGACTGGGCAGCTGAGTCAGCTAAGGTGCTTGGAAGAAATGATGGCATGGCAACAAGAGACATGCCAAATGGACCAGTGAACAGAATTGAGGTAGAACAGGAGGTGCATGGGAGGAGTGAAACAGTAGTTGCAGTGTCTAGTGAAAGATTGGGGCAGGAGCTCGAGATGGCAGTGGGCAAGCTAAATCACGGTTGTGCAGAACAGTGTTAGAATTGTGATGACCAAGTATACATGCCTGTGTTTATGAAAAGCTTAAGTGGGTCTACGTTACTTCAACATGGAGTGAACTTAGAAGTGCAGTTGGACCTGACCCAGGAGCCTAATGCTTTGGGTAGGCTTCATCCTTCACAGACTGGGCCTATTGAGTCAAGTGGGTTCAAAGCCCAAACAAATAATAGCAAGAGTGAAGCAAATTTAAAGCTGAAAGGGATTCATCTTTCACAGACTGGGCTTACTGAGTCAAGTGGGTTCAAAACCCAAATAAATAATAGCAACAGTGATGCAAATTTAAAGCTGAAAGGAAAGAAAAAATGGAGCAAAAAAACCCACTGTCGGCAGCAACCTCAGAGAAAGAGATTTTTTGATCTTGTGAGGAGATATGCACATAAGGGTGCTTCAACAAGTAAAGCAGCTCCAAAGCATGCCCTGCTGAGAACAGCAACTGTAGAAGCCTCAATATCGTCATTTACTGAGAATGGGAATGTTGGAGGAAGAAGAATTTTTAATGAAGCTGAAGCAACAGTACAATTGGGGCATGGAGTATAATGGTATAGAAGAGGAAGTTCTTAGAAAAATAATGGAACTAGAAAAAAAGGATAAGGAGAAGCTTGGGGGGAGGGGGGAAATAGGGCTACTGCATAGGGTGTTTGTGGAGGTGGGATTTCATTGGAGTCTAATAATGTTTCCTATGAAGATATTGATTTGGAATATTAGAGGAATTGGAAGGGAAGAGAAGAGGGGTAAGATTCGGAAGTTGGTGAATGACAGAAATATAGATATAGTGTTGATTCAAGAAACAAAGAAAGCTGTTATTACAAACAGAGAAGTCAGAGAAATGTGGGTGAGGACTAGAATGGAGTTCATGTCTGTGGATTCTGAAGGTACAGCTGGAGGTTTGTTATGCATATGGGACCAGAGGTATTTCAACTTGGTGCTTGCTGTAGTAGCAGACGGTTCATACTCTTATCAGGTACAATGTTTAATTCCTTTGAGTGTGTTTTACCGAATGATGTGGGTGGTAGAAAAAAGCTGTGGGATAGTTTGCTTAATCTGAAACAAGGTTTTCTAAACCATGGTGTCTGTGTGGGGATGTTAATGAAATTAGGAATATTGGTGAGAGCAAAGGTTGCTCCAGAAGAGAGAGGGGTATGACTGAGCTCAATGAGTTCATTGAGAATAGTGAAGTACAAGACCTACCTTTATTAGGAAGAAAGTACACATGGTGTAATCTATGTTACATGGACTCTTCAAATTAAATCAAATACCCGTGTCGGACACCCGACACTCGGACAAGGGTATGGGATATGTGTCGGATACTTTTCAACGGATACTTCTTATATAATTGTATATAACACTATTATTATATGTATATATTGTTATATAATTGCTATAAATGTCATTTTGACACTATAAGTTACATATAATACCATTTTATCTCACATATTAGATTAAAAATATAAAAATATGACATTTTTTTGCAGAGTCCGCGTATCCTTAAAATTATGATTTGATGAGTCCGACCTCTAGATACATACCCGCACCCGACACCCGTACCCGAGTCCATGTAACATAGGGTGTAATTCCAAGGAAGGGGTCAAATGGAGTAGGATAGATAGGGTGTTGGTGGATCCAAAATGGTTGGAGGGATTTCAATTAAAATTATAGGGATTACCTAGATAGGCTCATCTCAGATCACAGTCCACTACTATTGATGGAAGATGAAAGGGATTGGGGTCCAAAGCCGTTCTGATTTCTAAATGCTTGGTGTCTACATCCAAATTTATCATCCTTTGTGGCTAAAGTTTGGAAGGAGTCGGAACCTAATGGTTGGGCTAGATTCATATTACAGAAAAAATTGAAGGATTTGAAATTAGCGCTTCTCCAATGGAATAAGGAGGTGTATGGGTCTGTGCCTAACAAATTGAAAGCAGTAGAGGAGGAAGTTCATATCCTTGATCTTCAAGCAGAGAGCAGAGAGCTGGATCAACAAGAGAAAGTTAGAAGAAGAGCAGCTTGTGAAGAGGTATGGAGACTTCATAGAATGATGGAGTGGACGTGGTTACAAAAATCAAGACTGAATTGGAATTTAAAAGGGGATCGAAATACCAGATTTTTCCATGTGTTGGCCAAGGGTAGACAATGTAGAAATGAAATAACATCCATGGCCTTTGGTGGTTCAGTGCTTGAGGATCCTCGTCAAGTGAAGTTTGCAATTTTTAAGCACTTCAAGAAGCAATATTCTGAGGAGTGGATGTTAAGACCTAAGTTAGGAGGCCTATTCAAATCAGTGAGTAGCAGTCCCTATTTTGATGGGTTGGACACTGAGTTCTCAGAATCAGAAATTCTGGTAACAGTGAAGGATTGTGATGGTAACAAGGCACTTGGCCCAGATGGTTTCAACACGTTATACTTCCAAAAATTTTGGAAGGTGATAAGAGGGGAAGTTCTTAATTTTATGAAGGAATTCTATAGGAATGGCAGATTGTTGAAGGGTTTGAATAGCTCCTTTATTACTCTTGTCCCCAAGAAGGAAAATCCTGTGAGATTAACAGATTATCGGCCAATTAGTTTAGTGGGATCAGTCTACAAAGTCCTAACTAAGGTCCTGTCAAGAAGATTAAAAGAAGTGCTACCCTACATCATTAGTGAGACCCAATCAGCCTTTATAAGAGGGAGGAACATATTAGATGGGGTTCTGATTGCCAATGCAGTGGTAGATGGGTGGAAGAAATCCAAGAAGCAGGTTGTGATCATTAAAATTGATTTTGAGAAGGCGTACGATTCAGTCAACTGAGGGTTCCTACGTTCTATGCTCATGAAGTTTGGATTTGGGGTAAAATGGGTTAAATGGATTATGGAGTAGTACGGCTAGAATTTCAGTACTGGTAAATGGGTCTCCAGCTGATGAGTTTAGTCCTCAAAGGGGCCTGCGACAAGGTGGCCCTCTGTCCCCCTTCCTGTTCAACTTGGTTGCTGAAGGTCTCAATATGTTACTGACAAGAGCATACCAAATGGGAATTATTAAAGGGGTGCAAATTGGTGTAGATGATGTGAGGCTGTCTCACCTGCAATTCGCAGATGATTCTATCCTTTTTTGTGAAGCTAAAGAGGAGGAGGTTAGAAGCTTGAAGAGGATCTTGAGGTGTTTTGAGGTGATGTCGGGGCTGAGGATTAATTATCATAAGAGTCAGGTTTGTGGAGTGGGTGTGTCAGATGAATCTTTAGCTACATTTGCATCTATTTTGAATTGCAAGATCAAGAAGCTGCCTATGCAATATCTAGGCCTGCCTCTTGGGACTAATCCTAATAGAAAGCAAACTTGGAAACCAATGTTGGATAAGATTCGTAGCAGGCTAGCTAGCTGGAAAAGAAAGCTTTTATCTTATGCTGGGAGGTTAACCTTAATCAAATCTGTAACTACATTGATGCCAGTATACTATTTATTCTTGTTTAGATTACCTCAAGGGGTAGCTAAAGTGATTGAAAGGCTGCAGGCTTCATTCCTTTGGGGGGGGGTTTGAAGTGAGGAGAAGGGTACACTTGGTTAAATGGGCTGATTTGTCCAAAAGTGTGGATCAAGGGGGACTGGGGCTGAGAAGAGTAAAAACGATGAATGACTGTCTACTAATCAAATGGTAGTAGAGGTTTGGGTATGAAAAAGATGCACTGTGGAGGAAGGTTATTTGTAGCAAGCACAAGGTGGACTTTAGTGATTGGGTGCCCACTTCATGCACAAGGCCTAGTGCATCTAGTGTTTGGAAAGGTATAATCAATATTGCTATGTCTGATAGCCTACTCCTACAGTTCTACTTGAATAATTGGCAGTTAAAGGTTGGGGATGAGAGTAGAGTAAGGTTTTGGTTGGATAAGTGGTGTCAAGCCACCTGCTTTAGAGAGGAATATCCTAGCTTATTTTCTTTAATCTTGGATAAGGAAGTGTCACTAAGTACAATGTATGAAAGAAAGGAAAATGCAGGGGACTGGGTGTTTAATTTTAGAAGAAGGCTCTATGATTGGGAAGATTGTGAGGTCACAAGGCTTAAGAATCTCCTGGGTGCTGCACCTGCTTTGGTGGTCAATCAGGTAGATAAACCAATGTGGTTAGCAGTAGCAACAGAGGTATTCTCAGTGTCTTCTCTATATAATGGGGTTTCTGCTAATGCTAGTTCTCAATTGAGTATTTGTAAACTAGTGTGGGTTAAATACTTGCCTCCCAAAGTCCAATTTTTGGGATTGCTTGCATGGTAGAGTAGATTAAAGACTTTAGTTTTTCTCCAAAGAATTGGTGTGCTTCAAAGTAATGTATCAACTCTATGTGTATTTTGCAAAGCTGAGTTTGAAACTGTGAACCATGTCATGGTGTCCTTGCCTTTTTGCATCATCTGTATGGTTTGAAATGCTGAATTGGTGGGATGTCCAAGGGGCCTTACCTAGGAACTGTTGAAGGGTTGCTTCTATGGTGGGATGGGTAGGTGCTCAGCAGTAAGGAGAGAAAGATTTGGAGGGGCATACCTTTGGTTGTGTTGTGGCCCCTGTGGAAGCTTCGAAATGATGTGGTGTTCAATGTTGCCATCCTTGATGTGGCTGAGTTATGTGAAGTGATAAAAGTCAGAGTTGCACTGTGGTTGAGACCGATCATAGTTTTACAGTTCAGGATTTTGTGATTAATCTTAGGCAAGTGAGAAGGTGTATTTGAGGAAGAAGTGTGTAATGAGGCAAATGATATGGCTGGTATGACTATGAAGTGCATTACCATCAAGGTGTGGAGGTTAGAGTCTGATCTGGGTAGACTCCTCTGGTTGCTGAGGTTTTTGACTGATCTGGGTGGTGTGCTTAGGTCTTGCTGGTGGATTGGAACTCCTCTGCTGCTGCTTGAGCTTGCTCTGCTCTGTACTCCAGGTTATTGTTTGGGAGGATGAATGTTAGGGTGAGTCAAGTGATCTGAGTTGTAGATCTGTTTTGTTGCTTAGCAGATTGCACAGTGTAGATGGTGGTTAAAACATAGAGCTGGCTGAATTGTTCTGTTAGCCTGAGCTGCTACATTGTGGACGGTTGGGGTGTTTGTCTTGCTGGGCTAATCTGATTTGTACTGCTGCTGGGCTATGGGCTACTGATAAAAGGAGGGAGGTGTGGGGCAGGTTTGGTCTGTTAATCTGTTTACTCTCCGGTGGTTTGTTTATCTTTCAAGCTTTTATCTGTCAATCTGTTTTGGGCTGTGTATCTCTCTATCTTTATGTTGTTTGGCTATTTTGGGTGTGTGGTCCGTATCAGGTTTGGGTAGTTCTTCATTGGATGAGGTTGTTTTTGATGTTGTGGTTAGCTCCTCACCAACTCGATTAGATCTGCTATGATGTGTTTTGTTCTCATCCTTTTTGTCTTGTATTGATGTAATAGGCTTCTGTTTCATTAATAAAGTGTCTTTTCTTTGCTGATAACAAAAAAATATGTTGAATTAACGTCTACTGAGGGTTCTCAACTCAAACACAACTTAAACAATCCAACTGTTGCTAGGATGCTAAAACCAGGATGAGATCAGATAAGAAGGTTACTTTTGGGATGAATGGAATATAAAAGGGTCATGTGACTCATTACCTCTTGTTATGAAGGTGTAAGCGGTGAAAAAAATAAATAAAAAAACACCAAACACGATCATTCTATGAGTTTCCTCAAACACCCATCACTTTCATTTTGTTTATAGGAAATCAATAGAGAGGTGCTTTTAACTTTTGTTTTTTGATTATCAACTCTCTGTTTGTTAGGAGCTGCATCAAACAAATATGTCCCTATATCATTAATATTTGGTGATCATAATAATGTCTATACTAGAAGTTCAAAACTCTGCCAACAAAACCAACTTATCGCCTCCATAGTGATGAGAACAAGCAAAGAAATCAATGGGCTGAGGAATGTCTCAAAATCTTTAGATAGAAAATAGAGTAGAGAATTGAGGAGGGCTAAGTATAGAGATTA